TGTTTTAGAAAAACATTGCAAACGGTCCCACGTCATAAGTCATTGCTGAAATATTTGACATTTCTTTTGCTTGAGTAATCCTTTAATATCGGGAATACGCTATACTGGTGAATCAGAGCAGGGCTGTAGAAAGGTGCGTGGACATTTTTACGAAGATAAATGAACTTCGTCACTCACTCAATGGTGTAGGAAATTGTTTTAAAAGTCTATTGAACACTCGGCTTGTCAAAGAATAGCCCACTTTCTTTATGACACCCGAAGGTTCATCACCGTGTTCACAAAAGAGTTTCCACGAAGTATATTGATAAAATAAACGACAGTCTAACGTAGAATATCACTGAAGAAATTTACACACGCAGTATTTATAACCTAATGACTGCATACCATTATTCCACAATATGAAAAGGTTCTGTGGCATTTATTACAACTTCATAGATCAGAGACCTTGATAATCTTATAGTCGTCCATCTGGTCAAGACAATGTCTACGTCTTTTAAAATCCGGAGGTTTATTGCAATGTTCATAACAACTTGCAATTTGCCTTTATTCTAAACCTTTTCAATCCACTCCAGAGCCTCATATTTATTTCACATCCGTTTTAATATTGTTTTTTTACATCTACGCCTCGGTATACCAAGTGGCTTCTTCCATCGTCTGTTACAATCAACATTACCCCACACCATGCTTGCTACACGTCCTAACCATCTGACCCCTCAACCCCTAAACTAGATACATCGCGATGAAGGGTAACAATGATTAAGCTTACCATTCTGCAACTTTTCTCTGACCCACACTTGCTTTCCTTCCAACAAGTGTGTGAGACGCAGGTTCACACCCATATACAGACAATGCTCCTTAATAAACCGGTACAAAATTATTTGAGCACAAACAAAAGTACTGGATACGGGTCGTAAATTTGATTAGCCTAAGCGTACAACTGGATATCTTAACTACGATGTATTCTACTCAAAACAGAGCCATAACAATTATTACACATGAAAGCCTTTATCTACAAAGGATAAAACCAATGACAATATTGAATTTCTGCAGCTGTATACCGCGGTTGAATCTGATGGAGAGCTTGAAATCGGTACGGCGTTAATTTCAGCTGCTTGTCGCTCGATGGGAGTTGCAGGGGCTGCTTGGAATTTTAAACATCACACACCAGAGGTTAACAGTAAGACCGAGGGACGCTACAAGACGCTTTTGAGTTACCTAATTCGAAATGGCCAGGAGAAGAAGAGAATGAAGGAAGGAAAAGAATCGAGAAGGAGACGTGAAGGAGTAAAGACGGAAATGAAGAACAGGACGAAGCAGAATGAAGAAAATGAGTTGAAAGAGAAGAGAAAGACAAATGAGACGCGCCCAGCACTTCACCTGGTAAAATGTGTGTTTCTCTCCAGTTTTTCCTCGGCCATCCTCTCGCCGCCGTCCTGACGCTGGCTCACCCTTCTTTTCCAGGCTGCAGCTGCCGACGCTTTGCGTCCACTCGTCACGAACAGAGACACGCTCTTCATAAGCGCCGCTCCGCCCCTGGTGCGCTGCGCAGGTGAACGGCTACTCTCCATGGCAACGCAGCTGTGTGGACATGGCACGATTCGTATGAAATCTTCTTTGGTAAACATGCCTAAATATCATATTGTACTTCGGCGTCATATTGTGGATGAACTTTAGCAATTACAGGTCATACTGACGCGAAATAAATACCACATTTTTTTTTCGGTTTTGTGTGCAGACTGAGAATAACACAGAAGCTTAATGCCTACATCTTCCATGAGGACCATATCTCAAAACTCTTATTAGGGCGTTCTGTTTCATTCTGTCCGTAATATTATTAATACGCTCATTCTCCCCATGGTCTTCACCCATCTTTCGACTACTCACTGTTAACTCTTGGTACTCATCTCAGAAAATGAATTTCAGTAAATTAATTCCATAAAATATATTTTAAATTTTATGCTCTGGATTTATTTAATGACGCTGGCAACATAGTGTCGAATGACAGAATGATCAGTGATTAATGTCACGAATGTAGACAGACTCCACAGAACAAATTTATTCTAGAAAATCTTATATTCGTTCGGCTGATTAAGCAACACCCCGCTGTTATGGAACCTAAATGCCCATTGCTGTGTCCACAGGACCCCACCACTGGAAAGTACCTTAAGACAACTGATTCCAGTGCTTACCTCCACAATGTTTTCTTTTGATCATTGTTAATTAATATAAGGATCCTCTCATCTTTTGACTCCGTACAACTGTACAGTAGTCTACAATCTAAAACGGGCAACGGAAGCTAACCTTATGTTACGGTGCAAAGCGGTCGGAGCTTTGAATTGACCATTCTCCTGTATTAGGTACGGAGGATCTGTACATCCATGCTCCCTAAACTCCTTGATGGTGTGAGACTAAAGCAGCAACAAACTTACTCTCAAAATGGAGGAGTTATTACGATGCCCATCATGCGACATGCATTAAAATCCCATGTGTCTGAAGCGTGTGTTGAGAATCGTAAGTCTTAGGCCTACTCAAGCGAGTGCCTGGTATTTTAATTGTAATAATGGCACACCACAAGCATTTTCATCCGTGTGAAGGATTGGATACTATCTTTTCCATGAGAAGGTTTAAGAAAAATGTCGGTATTTTATTTTTAAAAATCTAATAAAGATTCAGTACTTCTGAAATGCTTCAACAACAAACAATCTACGTACACAAGGTTATTATTATTATTTAGTGTTCTGTCAGACGACAGGTCCATATGAACAGGATCCTTCCATCCTTTTCTCGGACTGGGACCTGTTCATATACGTTCTTGGCAGATGATCCAGAAGTGGTTTGCCATTGCCTTCTGCTGTGTGTGAATGGAGTAATTGTTGGGATGCCACAGAGAAACCGGGGAAGCCCCCGGAGGAAAACCCCGTGTTGCCTAGACCACGATCTTGCCCAACACAAGTTATAAATTCAGGCCCCGCCGGGAATCGAACCCGAGACCCCAGGATTACAAGGCCAGCGTTCTAACCGCTAGACCACCTCATCTTATTATTATTTAGTGTTCTGTCCGACGACAGGTCCATATGAACAGGATCCTTCCATCCTTCTCTCGGACTGGGACCTGTTCATACCTCACGTAGACACGTATAATATTTATGAACTTGTCTCTTTCATTTGGCAAGGATATCGAGAGATATTTAAGTGCCCTCAGTTTCTTAGCATTCTATCCTCTGGATTCCAAATTCAAAGGGACTGAAGCAATGTTCCCCTATTTCGCTTTTATAGGTTTCGTTTCATTAAAAGAATGAAAGATCGATTTAGGACATCAAAACGCACGTTTTCTAATGACGTGGAAGCTGTTGCGAATTAATCAAACTGTCTGTCAGAATGAGGTCCTGTGGCACTCTAAGGCATGTTTCCCTGCTGTGCCACGCCAATGCAAGGAATCTACCTAAACTCTTAGTTCACAAGATAATGACATGTCACCGCTGAGTTTAATGTTAGCAGAGATCGATTACTCGAAGTTTTCATGCCTTATTTCATGTTCTTTGTATCAATATAAATGGCTAATTGTGTTTCCATTGATAAGTATCAGAGTTTGAGTGGGCAATTTCCCGCGTTTTATGACAGCATTCTAGCGATTATTCAGGCTAGCATTTGGTGTTTAATGAAGAAGGGCACATATGTTCTAAGTAATGAACTAATACAATAACTCAATGAACATGTTTGCTTAACACTCTGCGGTCTTAATGGTGAGGTACACTGTTTAAATTTTGGTGAAGTTACTGGCTGTTTTGGTACCTTGTCCAGGTTTTCCTCAGGGTCTCAGGATAATTCCAGGATATGGTTATTTTCGTCTGCATAACAAATTGTATTAATTGTGTGTTAATTGTAGCTACGTTATAGCCGATGCACGTTTCGATACCACATATGACCATCATCAGGTGCCTTGACAAAAAATTAAAAATTGAACTGTATAGCATTATTAGGGTTTTTCACTCCCCAACGTGAGCAAGGAACATCTTATGGGCTGGTTTTTCTGCCTGTCTGTCTCTCCGTGTGATTCAACCCGAGAACCACATGAAGGATTTTGGTGAAGTTTGGTATTCCTACATTCGGAAAACTACCCCATAAAGTGTTCCACGTCCATGCTAGGGCCTAAAGAACACTTAGTACCGTACCAGATTGATACAATTTGAGATGGAAACTAGTAGACCTAATTGCACGTTTTATTTACAGTAGTGTACCGGTATTTACATATATGAGTTGAAAAAATACCCATCGAATCTCGTGAGACTGGATGAGACTGAAGTGGGATGCTGATAGCTGAACCCTACATCGGATCTGACTGGGGGTGTTAATCCCATTTCGAAAATATTGGGCTGATCTTGTGTTTAGTGCGTGAGGTTTCATGGTGTGTGCAGAAACAAGGGGACCCTTAGCTCTGTGCATATGCCCAGGGGCCCTGATACAGGCCGAATGACTGACTGGTTTCCGTCCAAACAATACGCAACAACACGTGTGTATATTCTGCAGGACAACCTGTCATCCATTGTGGGTTTGTCTGTATGCTTATGTCGGCCCACAGCCTGCTTACAATGCAATGCTTTGTCGCCATTCAATTCCTCGCTCCATTGCAATGATTCATATTTAGGTGTACCGTGTTATACTATTCTGATCATCGCTTCTCTCGAATTCAATTTCTCAGTCAAATTAATCGTGTTGCAGCCCTGTACGAGTCTGTGTCGGCTTTCTATCGGCCTTCGTGTTGCTAACGCCTCTCATGGGAATTAATCTCTGAATCTTACAGACATGATCAAAGTAAAGCAATTTTTTTGTAATAAGATCGTGGTTAAATTCAAGTTTCTTTGCGAAAGACTTTTAGGTTATTTTATTTCACAGTAGACATACTTTCGTTGAACGGTTGAAATGAGGTCAGTTCATACTTCATTTTCAGAAGCAGAGTACTGTGTTGAACACTCTGGCCATCTGCTCTGTTTATTTACGTATCTATATCATCTGTAGCTAATGTCTCTGTAGTGATTTGCCTGCGTATTGTCCAGTGACTTGAACGGAGGAAATGTGTGGTTCGATCGAACGGGCTTTACCAGTGGAGTAACGGTGACTCTACTGCAGTTTGAATTATTCTTGTTGTGACTAACTCTACGGCGAAAAGTTATTGCAGAGACGCTAATAGTCACTCATTTAAGAAATTCCCTGCCATTTATGGAACCTGAAGATTCGTTTGCAGAGTTTACAAGAACCGTCACTGGAACCTATCCTGAGCCAGTTTAATCCAGTACACACCTTCATTTCATTACCGATAATTTTAATATTATTCTCCCGTCTACGCTTAAGTCACCATTCAAGGTTTCTCGACTAAAATCTTGTATGAAGTTTTTCTTTCAAGCCATCCGTTGATACAGGTCTACGTCCCATCTATGTGACCTTTTATGTAATTGTCCTAATGATGTCTGGTGAAGAGTACAGTTTATGAGGCATAAAATTAACTAATTTGAGAATTATTTCCTAATGTAATGTGCGTTGTGCAAAGAACGGATAGTCGCTGCCATGGCACTTGAAACTACGCACCGAGTTAGACCCGTTTTGATAACAATGGTAATACATTGCAGTATGCCGCTTTGTTTGCTCGGGGTCACTCCGTGTTCTAACCACGGTCAGGGGATGAATGTTGCATGCATTCAATTTCCGGACGGTGGTAATCCTGTACTCACCCTGGAGGCCATTCCTACAAACGTCACCCCCAACTACCAGCTGTTCAAACATTAGTGTGGGAGCAATTGGTTATGAATTGATCATTTATGAAGATGACAGACAACCTTCAGAGAGATTGGGCCCTATAGTATCGTAGATGATGCCGACATTTCAGAGGTGCGTGCTGCCTGTCATTGGGGTGATGCCATCTTCAGAATATGAACTCTCGTTGATTACCCACGATCCTGTAATCGGTTTCTCCCACAGACACTCGCGTTTTCTTTTCCACTCATACAGTATCGTTTTTGCAGCTGAACGTCGGCTTTGAGTTAAGGCATTGGTTATGTGTAGTTAAGTTTTTAAGATTCCGTGTGTTTATAGATGACATGTCGAAAAGAGTAGTTTGTTGAATGCTTAAAATCTGGTTACCAAGGGATGTGTGAGACATGTAGTACTCATACGGGACATTAGAAATATATGAAAGAATGTTAGCCTCTATGAAGTAAGTTTTACAGTTATTTTTTGAATAAGGATGCTGTTCTAAATGAAGCTGTTAGTTTCCATCTGTGATTCCTCGTAATAATTTAGAGGAAAAAAACTAGGTATTGATAATAATTTAGTTATTTTTAGACCAGTTGATGCTATTGTAATTGTTTATCTTCTTTTCCGTTTTCGCGTGTCCACTTGTATGAATGTTTGCTTCTCCTTTGGCTTAGTAAAATGGACGCTTCGGATAAATTACACGAGTATGACACAGAAATCTATCTGCAAGTTCGTTTCTACTTGTTTTATTGTTGTCCTTTTGCTCTAGAATTTATATAAAAAAAGGAACCTATGGAAAACTAAGGAACGCTTTAGTCAAGATGTCCAACTTACTCCATGGAACGGCGTCTCTCTCTCTCTCTCTTGAGAATCTTAAGATTTTCACAGCTAGTCAGAAAATTCCCCAAGTTCCATCACCGTGTTTACTACTTACCTTACCTTACTTACTATCCTTAGCCAGTTTAATCCAGTTAACGTACATCCCACATAAGATCTTACCCCGGGTACGAAAATCCCCTGTAAATGGTCACACTTTTTCTTCAGAAGAAGATCTCTATTTCAGATGATTGTGTTCAGAAATGTGAAGTATCCTGAGTATATTTGACATGAATATAAAGGCTGACTATACAAATAAAGGAGAGACTAGGGTCTAACTCAAGACCTACTCTGTGGGAAGTAAGATATGTGCTGGAACTGAACAAAGATGGCTGAAATTCCTAGTCTGGAAGATGGAAGTAAAATAAAGGAATTTGTTCCCAATTGATTGAGCTACTTCCACTGATTTCATCTAAAATTCTTATCTTATTTCTTGATTGCTTCTCTGTCTGTCTACTAACAAGTAGTTTTATCTGTGCAAAAGTGATCTAAATCTGGGCGAGCTGACTTGACATCTCATAAGTAACTTTATTGCAGTCATATCTGCGGATTAAAATGTAATAACATGGAAATGTTACTTTGCATGCTTCCAAAATTTAATGACCCGTTTACGTACGCGAGTATTCCACTGCCACAAACAATTTTTTATGAACGTTACGATTTCAATATTTTGAAAACTTATGTAGGTATTTAAGTGTAGAACTTTATTTTAAATCCGATAAAATGACAAAGAAAATTGGTGATAATTTATCATGAATATTAGTATTATAGTATATATATTTTCGATATATAAACGTGCTTGTCGCATATAAAATGTCTTGTGTTATAAATACGTTTTATATCTGTTATTAAAAAGGTCTTGACTTTTTCTATATGGTCAACCGTTACGTACGTCAGCATTGTGTGTGAATGTTTTTGGGACACCTGTGTGTGTGTGTGTGAAAAGTTATTTGAATTTTTAAAACGACTTTACTCTCTTAATTGTCCAGTATTTGATTTTAGTCTGACAAAACGTTTATATGAATTTCTTTCGAGAAATGCACTCGTTCCATAAAGCAAAGAGCATATAAATAGAATTACATTCTGTAAACATGTAGGTCTAACTTACGTCAATTTGGAGAGGTTTCAATTGCCTTATTTCTGCTGTGATTGCTTAATATAGGTTGTTCGATGAACCCTACTTGATAGCGTATTTTGTAATGTTGCGTGACGACAAGAGTGGTATAAGATTTACTTCACATATTCCTTCCAATGGCGCACGCAAAAGTGTTCCAAATGGGTACAGCTCGAACAGTTTCACTTACTCTACTTTTGCTGTTACGGCGACTGGAATAGAAATCATGAGAGTTTCATGAGGAAAAAAGTTGGATGACATTCGTTAGTTACAGAGAAATTGGCCCATGGACTACGCTCCAAGTCCTTTCATTCACATAGACCAGACAGAACTTTTATATACGTACTGTAAACGGCACAAGTGTATAACGAAATCAATCCTATTGGTAAGTTAATCCCCAACTTTTCGCTGAATTTCTTCCTTCCTTTCTCTTACCAATTTACTTTTCTCTCGCAGTATCATTTTCTCTTTTATCTCCTCACCTCCCGTTCTGTCTACACTGTAGGGTACTACAAAACTCCGGACCTTATGAAAACGTGCATTTCGAATTCTTTCGCAATTGTGTCGGTGGTGCAGTCGGTAACCGGAAGTGATTCTTTTGTGGCCAACTGGATGTTACGGTTAATGATGTGCCCTGATGACGAAATACGAATTCTCAAATCTTTGTCAGTTTTGAATTACAAAATCCTCGTTTCTAGATTTAAGCATCACGATTCAGTTTCTATCGATATGTACGGTCTGTTTCTTGATTTAGGCATATTTCTTTTTCTTTTACATTTTTTTGTTTTATTATTTTCGTTTTTTCTCCTTTATCCCTCATTCTATGTTATTTTGTATATCCCTTCTTTATTTTTGTTTCATTTTAGGTTATTTCTTTGTCTCTCTTTGTTTATTCCCGTCTTTTGTTGTTTTTGTATGTTCATCTCTTTATTACTTATTTACTTCTGTTCTTTCCTCTTTCGTCAGCAATAATCTTTCAATCAAGTTGTGAAATGGTTTCAACCAGAAACCACGAGTAATTTAGAAGGGTGAAGGGAATCAGGATGCAATGGCAGATGCAGAGTGGAAGTAATTTTGATGGACAGAGAAGAATGATGATTGTAAGTGGGAAAACGTCAGTGGCGTTAATAAACAGGTACAAACAAACATACTTACGACGACTCTGCTTTAAGTGCAGAAACAAATAGTAAAGTAAAGTAAAGTAAAGTTTGTCCCACTATACGCCATGTAGGCGTTTGGGGTGAGTGGAGGTATAGCTCCTCTCTTCCTTGACCCCGGCACTAGATGGAGGTGAGTGGTCAGCATCACGCCCTGGCTGGCTTTACCCCCCGGGAAAGGACCCCGGTACCCATTGGACAGGAGGCTGGGTGGGCCCCAGAGCCGGTCTCCCCAAAAATTAGTTGTCATGACTTTTGAAGTAACCCTCGTATATGTACCTACCTCGTGGGCAGCCGTGGGAGATGTTTGTCCGACGGCCGGGCTTCCGTTCCTCACCACAAGCTTCTGGTACACGCGCACCAGAGCTTCAATCTCTTGCCTGAGAGAAAGAAACATTCAAATTCACCCCGACCTCTCGCCCACACTACCATAATTTCAGCTGCTTGTCGCTCGATGGGAGTTGCAGGGGCTGCTTGGAATTTTAAACATCAGAGAGCAGAGGTTAACAGTAAGACCGAGGAACGCTACAAGACGCTTTTGAGTTACGTAATTCGAAATGGCCAGGAGAAGAAGAGAATGATGGAAGGAAAAGAATCGAGAAGGAGACGTGAAGGAGTAAAGACGGAAATGAAGAACAGGACGAAGCAGAATGAAGAAAATGAGTTGAAAGAGAAGAGAAAGACAAATGAGACGCGCCCAGCACTTCACCTGGTAAAATGTGTGTTTCTCTCCAGTTTTTCCTCGGCCATCCTCTCGCCGCCGTCCTGACGCTGGCTCACCCTTCTTTTCCAGGCTGCAGCTGCCGACGCTTTGCGTCCACTCGTCACGAACAGAGACACGCTCTTCATAAGCGCCGCTCCGCCCCTGGTGCGCTGCGCAGGTGAACGGCTACTCTCCATGGCAACGCAGCTGTGTGGACATGGCACGATTCGTATGAAATCTTCTTTGGTAAACATGCCTAAATATCATATTGTACTTCGGCGTCATATTGTGGATGAACTTTAGCAATTACAGGTCATACTGACGCGAAATAAATACCACATTTTTTTTTCGGTTTTGTGTGCAGACTGAGAATAACATAGAAGCTTAATGCCTACATCTTCCATGAGGACCATATCTCAAAACTCTTATTAGGGCGTTCTGTTTCATTCTGTCCGTAATATTATTAATACGCTCATTCTCCCCATGGTCTTCACCCATCTTTCGACTACTCACTGTTAACTCTTGGTACTCATCTCAGAAAATTAATTTCAGTAAATTAATTCCATAAAATATATTTTAAATTTTATGCTCTGGATTTATTTAATGACGCTGGCAACATAGTGTCGAATGACAGAATGATCAGTGATTAATGTCACGAATGTAGACAGACTCCACAGAACAAATTTATTCTAGAAAATCTTATATTCGTTCGGCTGATTAAGCAACACCCCGCTGTTATGGAACCTAAATGCCCATTGCTGTGTCCACAGGACCCCACCACTGGAAAGTACCTTAAGACAACTGATTCCAGTGCTTACCTCCACAATGTTTTCTTTTGATCATTGTTAATTAATATAAGGATCCTCTCATCTTTTGACTCCGTACAACTGTACAGTAGTCTACAATCTAAAACGGGCAACGGAAGCTAACCTTATGTTACGGTGCAAAGCGGTCGGAGCTTTGAATTGACCATTCTCCTGTATTAGGTACGGAGGATCTGTACATCCATGCTCCCTAAACTCCTTGATGGTGTGAGACTAAAGCAGCAACAAACTTACTCTCAAAATGGAGGAGTTATTACGATGCCCATCATGCGACATGCATTAAAATTATCAAACATTAATTACTTTACCAGAAAATAAGATACATATATATTATACAGGTATAAGAAAGCAAACTAAATAAGAAACCAAAATATAACAATTTGGTTTAACAACCATTATAAAAATATACACATTAAAATAAAACGAAATAGTAAAATCTATAAAAAAAACATAAATCCCACAAATATTCAGATATACGGAACAAAACAAGTAATACAATAAAGCATATAAGCAAATTAAGTACTTTAATAAAGTGAGATTTCAGGTTCACTAAATGTGTTTTCCTATATTTCAGCCAGAGAATTTAATAAAGTAATTGGCCTCGTAGTTTAGTGGTGAGAAATTATATTTGTCCAAGTTTGGTAGCATAATAACTGTGACAAACGTTCACTGAGATAAACTAAGCAATTATTATACGGAAACGTTACAAACAAACAGTGACTATGAATTTGAAGGCCGGCAAGTTCTTAAAACGATATTTTTTATATGCCACATGGGAAAGCTGTTTTAAGTGATTTAAGGTGACGAATGAACTAACATATTTGTTTGTTAATATGGCCTTCTTCTGGGTTGTTGCACCGTGTAGTCTGGTAGAAGTTAACGCAAAATTCAGAGGTTGTTTCTGCATCCATCATCAGGGCGATGAGACTGATAGTCCTGATAATAGAGGCAGGAAGGACCTCTGATACGTCTGTAAATTTCTAACAGACTACACGGTGCAATAACCCAGAAGACATAAATCTTCATACTCATCGCCCTGATGATGGAGGCAGTATGACCTCTGAAACGTTGGTAAACATCGACCAGACTACACAGCGCAACAACCCAGAAGACAGAAATCTTCATACTCACCGCCCTGATGATGGAGGCAGTTTGACCTCTGAAACGTTGGTAAACATCGACCAGATTACATAGCGCAACAACCCAGAAGACAGAAATCTTCATACTCACCGCTGTGAAAACCTCAAATCCTACAAATTTCGTTGTGATTTGTTTTTCCTACCGACGTCAGGAGGAATTGATTCAGATATTTTCTGATGGTGTTCTCGGCAGCTCTCGATAAATTAGTGTCTACATCTGGATTAGTCGTAAAAGTTCCCTGCTACGTTTCTGCGAATAAGGTCGTCTTTGCTTGGCACGTGGATTCAAGGTTGCTATATTACTATTATTACTTTTTTATGTTTTGTGATTCTCCGTGTCTCCGGGGTCTAGACCTTCGAGTGTATATTGTTAGGCGTTACATAACTAATTTACAATGACAGTGAAAATTTTCTGTTTTTGCTGTTTGAGGAGAACGAATGGCGAAGTTATGCTTTTCTCTTACACAAGTTCATAATTTACTGTTTACCTGATATACAGGCATGCTGAGGGCGATATTTGCATTGACCTGAACGCTATTATTTTTCCGTTAAAGCACCGTCGAATTTACAGAGTAGTATGAACAGCAGTCAAAACACGCTGTCTGACAAAAAATATTAAATAAAAGCAGACGTTTCACAATGGCGTAAGAGCATGTTAAAAATCAAGTGTGTGTAGGCAGTTAAGTTACTGCAAATGTTGATGCAATATAGAATGTTTTCTTCACAAAAATCTTTAAAAACTTTAAAATCTGTAATTATAAGCACCCATTAATAAGCTGCCTGCCAATCGTATGTTTTGATTTGTTTCGTTGTTCTGGATTTGTGTTGTGTCTGTGGAAATAAATTATGTGTGTATTACTTTTGTGTAATATAAAGTCCTGGGACCTGCCGTTTCAACAAAGGTTTTCTTGGATGTCCTCTGGCTATAAGGAAGTGCTGAGACGGTTACCAAGTTCTGCTTCTGCATATTTCTCATGTATCCCTCCCTATTTCAAATTTATCAAAATGATTCCCTTGCTGTAAAGATCACTAAATTACATTATCTTTACAAATTATCATCTCTACATTCATAAGAAAATAAAAATCCCTTATTCCATCCTCATCAGAAGGACGAGCGGTCAATGCCCGAGAACAGAGCACTCATTTTCCTGTAACCGATCAAACATGACAGCTCGACATAATTTAAGTTAATTGCATTTAATTTATTCTTCCACTTGTGTATAATTAATTGACAGTTATTCAATGATTCATTTATACTGATTCCGTATTACTATTACTGACTTAGCTGATGTCTAATGTCGGTATTGGGTTAAGAAATACGCTAAACACATTTTGTTTACAATGCGTGAACAATCACTGTGCTGCTAAACCAAAGGGGTTGTTTTATAGAAACGTTTAGTTAAAATATTAAGCGCATTTACAACCATCTGTGGTGATCCAGGAAAACTTAAAACACCTGTCGAAATAATGTCTGTTTCAGAGGCGGGTCCTGGGACAGACTTGTTGAAATCTCTACCCCAGACTTCGCCCAGTCACAAAAGGTGGTAACATAATTCTTTGGGTTGAATCTTGAGATGTTTTAACCAATCGGGAGGAAGAGAGTCTTGTTTTAAGTTGTCCGATCTTGATCCTTGGAGGGTGCGTGAGTACACTTCACGCAATGTCTTCACCATTTCCGACGTTTGCATAATTGATGCGAATCTGAGACACTCGTAATTTTGAAAATTATTAGAAATTTCAAGAATAAAATTGTTACCTGACAATATTAGTGATTGTACATAAGTGTGCTGACCGATGAAATTAAATCTGTGAAAATTCTCTAGAACTATTGTTATGGGTTAATGTTTCTCCGTCGCCATAGCCGATTCGGCCGTTACACGACCTGAGGACAGATGCAAACTGACTTAGCTCAGAGTCAGTGAACGGCGACAACTTTGAGGCACGTGTCTAATTTTTCGCCATATTTTCCTTTGTATCTTTGTCCCCTTATACAATCTTTCCTAACTCTCTGTTTCCCGGCTTCAAAGGGTTAATTTTCTGAGATCAAGCATGCTGGCGGTCAGACACACAGAAGCGACCTCCTCAGCATATGTACTTTGTATCCTTGTGAAAATAACTCGAACTATTTGCCTGTTACGCTAGTTCAATCCGTGGTGTCACATGCAGCATTAAACATCGCAAACTGGTTCACAATCACTCAAAACTTACGTCACTCCGAAGACATGTCGTACTTCTAGATCAAATTGTAAAGAAAAATTTGCCTTGCCTAAGTACCTAATAGGTAGTGGGTAGGTGAAATTCCAAGTAATATAAGTTTGGCATTCGATGAAGGAAAATTACCTTGACAGTAGTCTCGTAACCAGTCATTTTAATAGCGGAGCTGCCCGGCTCGTGCGCTAAGAAACTGGTATTGTCGGAACGTAGTACAAGGACGCGTGAATTGCAATGTCATGAAGACGGCCAGAAAAGGATATTATCCCATCATTTCTGCAGTAAACACAAAAGTCAAGGGTCGTGCAATTAATGACGTAAATGTGCCTCCTCATTCCAGAGTTTAAAGATGTACTCTGTAGGTCAAATAATTTCTGAAGGCTGTCTTTGAGATATCTACTTTCTCAGTTCATTATTATATTTATTTGTAGTGTTCTGTCTGCCGACAGGTCCATATGAACAGGATCCTTCCATCCTTTTCTCGGACTGGGACCTGTTCATATACGTTCTTGGCAGATGATCCAGAAGTGGTTTGCCATTGCCTTCTTCTATGTGTGAATGGAGTAATTGTTGGGATGCCCCGGAGAAACCGGGGAAGCCTAGACCACGGCCTTGCCCAACACAAGTTATAAATTCGAGCACCTCCGGGAATCTAACCCGGAACTCAGGATTACAAGGCCAGCGTTCTAACCGCTAGACCACCGTGGCCATCATTTATTTATTTAGTGTTCTGTCTGATGACAGGTCCAGGTCCATATGAACAGGATCCTTCCATCCTTTTCTCGGACTGGGACCTGTTCATATACGTTCTTGGCAGATGATCCAGAAGTGGTTTGCCATTGCCTTCTTCTATGTGTGAATGGAGTAATTGTTGGGATGCCACGGAGAAACCGGGGAAGCCCCCGGAGGAAAACTCCGTGTTGCCTATACCACGGCCTTGCCCAACACAAGTTATAAATTCGAGCACCTCCGGGAATCTAACCCGGAACTCAGGATTACAAGGCCAGCGTTCTAACCGCTAGACCACTATGCTTTCCACATTTTATAGCTACTTTCTTGTGCGATTCTGACTTAAATAAGAAATGAGCTCAATTTTCTGTAACAGTTCCAATATGTGGTATCTTCAGATAATACGAATAAAATTACTGGACAGTTTTTTTTTCTGCATTAACAAACTGAAATAACATTTTGTTTCTTAAGGATGTTGTTGACATGTGACAGGGTCGTGATATGTTAATCCACGACTTTCCATGTTTTTTGAGAAAGGTATCACCACTTCTGTTGTTCTATTTCGGCCTTCTGTTAGTGGTTTAAAAACGTGGCAGATTTTAATAAAAATTTGTATAAAAATGATATGGGAGGATACTACAAATTTTTATTACTCCGCAAGTAATAATACAAATATTACGCTATAGGATTTGAGACTTTCACGGCGAGTACAATCAATACGCGGTTGATTGCCCGAGAAGATTTTATTGATTAAATATGCCGCCATTCTAACATCTGACATATACATATTGCAGGCCTGTTCATTTTACAGAGCAATGAGCCTTTCTTCAGTCCAATATTTTATTACCCGTTGGTGCTATAGAAACAATGTAAATTACAAGAATGTTTATAAATTAATGCAGCGATATTATGATAATTTTCTTTGTGCTAATTTTTTTGTATGGGCGTGCTTCATAATAAGAGAATGGCATATTTATGGTGTCTGAGAATTTGCTTCTGAAAAGAATGTAAGGACATTTCAAGGATGAAACAAGAATGTTATTTATCAAGGAGACGTAAGTGTGTGGAACATGTAACACACATGAGAAACCAATGCAAATTTTTGGTCACAAATTTTAGAGAGTTCCTGTGATAACTAGATGATAATTGGATGATATTAGAGTTCAGTGTATGGACTGGGTTAATCGGTTCTGGATGTTGATCAGCTCTTAAAGAACGACCGGACAGCAACAGATCGATTATTACACTTCTGCTTCGTATTCGGGAGGTCCGAGGTTCAATCTTGGCTCTGATACTTGCTGTCTTGAGTGATATTTTTATATGTTTTCTTCGGGGATCTGCGAAATAATACCATAAATCAGGCACGACTTTTTCTCTCAACGTATGTTCCCATTCATTTTTCACTAACCATCATACTGTTTGACTGTGTATAATCGGACCAATTTAAAGTGTCGTTAAACAACGTAAACTTCTTCTTCTAGAAGTTTGCGTTGTTCCGAGGCTATTCACCTTCCTTGATGACTAATGTAGGAGTTTTCAACCTTTTTCGCTGGCGTACCACTAATTCATTAAATGTACCACTAACCAAATGAGTTCAGGGAAAACTTATTTATGTTAATATTAAATTTTGATTTTCTTACTTAGTTCGTATACCACTCAACATTGGCTCTCGTACCACCAGTGGTACGCGTACCGTAGGTTCAGAACGGCTGGTCTAGAGCCAAACTCTTGTTTGATACTGAGATCACTTGGATATCGGAATTGAAACTAACGAGAATATCGCATGTGAGTTCTGTAAACACCCAAACATTTATTTCTTCACGACGTCCTATCATTCGTACACCCATCATAAAGGAAACTGGAATATAAGAACAATGTTATTTCATGTTTAGGGACGGTTTATCATGTAAGGGATAGAAATAAAAAAACATGTGCATTCTCAACATCCCTGGGACCAGTGAATTTATTCTGATACTAATTTCCGTATGTATTGGCTAACTGTTTCATATTATCCGGTTTCTTACTCCGGTACCAACTTTAGTATGGCAGATGACTGAAGAATCTCTTTACCGAAATCTA